TCAGGTTCTGATCCTCAAGACCTAATGACCCAAGAGGAAGCCTTGACCGAGACTGCGTAAGTCCGTAAACAAGTATGGTTGAGATAATGAGATGTGAGCTTGTAAGCATGAAGATCAAGTCACGAAACCACTAGTCCTAACCTTTCAGTCAAGGGTCATTAATGTTTAACCCTCCAAGGAAAGGCAAGGTTAGGGTTGCGTAATCTGACATGTCTGGTTTGGTTGATGAGCTTACTCTGACATGTTTGACGAATGTGAGTGTAAAATGAAAGTCCCTCCAACAATGTTATCTCAGGAGATTGATCGAACCCCAGTTCCTCTTTGTATCTACAAGATGCTTAAAGACTGGCAGAGAGAATATACTTTCTGTATCAGACCAATTTTCTATAAAATTTGCTCTTAAAACAACAATAATTTTCAATGTTTTAAACATAAATAGATACAATTCAAACCCCTTCTTTCTTACTCCCTCTCTTTGTCTTGCTTTGTCACCCACGCCCTCTTCTTGGCTCTTTCTTTTTTTCTGTCAGGTGGCTTATAAAGGTCCCGAAATGGCCTGCCGACTAGAAGGTCTTCACTTCAACGCTTCCTATCGCATGCGTGTGAGAGCTGTCAACTCAGTCGGTCTAAGCCCGTACAGTCGACTAGTCCTCATGAAGACAGCACCCTGTAAGAGTGAAGCCTATTCACATAAATATTCCACACCCCGTTGTATACCCACCCGAATATTTGTTCATTAATCGAATTTGTGAACGAGACAGCTGCAGATGGAAGCTTTATGGCGAAATGATTGTTGACAATTTGCTTCACTTGCAAAACAGCTCATGAAAACTGTACCAGCGAAAAGCAATATGGCGATATGTTATGATTATTTTCCTTCTCAGATTGATCTTCATGTGTATTTTTTAGCATTCCTCATAGTTAGTATGTTTCACACCTCTTCATTATATTTAGTAAAATGGATAAATGTTATGAGTGAAAAGGATTATTTCGCAATCTGTTGAACCCGTAAAATGCTAAGGGATGGCCTATGATAGCAAGCATGTATTTACAGACACACATGTTTTGTGTGTGTGTGTGTCTCTTTTGCCGTCTGTTCTATGTCTGCTCCGTTTCTGCCTCTCTATCTTCCGACAGTAGCGCAGTTTCGTCTTGACCCCTCCTCCACCAACTGGGGCCCAGCAGCCTCGCATGGTCATGTCTCGTCGGTCTCTTCTCTCCTCTCCGCCGTCTCCTCGAGCCACTCTTCCGAACGGTGCCTCCAGACGAGCGGCGGCGGCGGCGGTGGCAACAGCAGCCTCAACCCCAGCAACGCAGTCACGTCGGCCTCGGGAAGTGCCGGGGCTCTTCAGGTCTCGGAGGACGGCTTCACGGTCCTGTCGAGCGGTGACGCGGAAGAGCATGTCTGTCTGGCCGAGACCGGATTTGTGCGCGGTCTGCACTATTGGGAGTGGCGAGTGGAGACGTACGACGGACAGGGTCAGATCGCCGTCGGCGTGGCGCTGGCCGGAGTGGCCAGAGACAAGCGATTGGGTGAGCCCAAGCAGCAACAGTTGCTGCTGCCGCGTTGCTTCAATCGGGGCCGCTTTGGCCGAGCCGCGATTTGAGGCTGAAAGCGAAGCTTTTGCGCACGGAAATGTCGCCAAGTTACGCCTCACGTCGACACGAAGGCTGCTGCATTATGCATAGTTTTAGGTCGACAGTCATGTCCGTTGCCATTCTGGACGGTACCATCCGTGGAGGTTGTTGGAAGGTCAACTTTTTTCACCTTGAATTGCACATAGTCACGCGAACTAACCGATCCAGGTCATAAGCATTTCTGATGCAATCTCACTCAGCACGGAACCCTCAAGCAACCCTACGTCAACGGTTGCCCCGGTTCCACTTGGCCAGCATGTCTTTTTCACCCCACCCCACCCCAACCTTGCAGCCCAATAGGAGGCGGGGAGGGTAGGGTACAGCTGGAAAGTGATTTGTCATCTTGCCGGACCCATACGACTCGAGAAGCCGCAAAGAGGATGGCTGCAGAGGGGACAGTTCTGCAGGCGCTTTGACTCGACACCAAAAGGTCTTACAGACAACCTTCCAGAGTCGGAATTGCAGACACTGTCCAGCGCTTTTCAATGCAATGCCGGTCGGGCCTACTGACTCATTCAAGAGGATCTCTCTTTTTTCGGGCATAGGCTGGCTTTCAAGACCACCAATAGGTCAATTATACGAGATGTGCTCAC